CCATAGATCTCCTCATGTTGCTCTCAAAGTGCACCAGATTGATGCTTTTAACATGTTTTAACTTCAATATTTAAAAAAAAATCTTCCCGGGGGAGCATGCCCCCGGACCCTCCTAGAGGAGGTTAGGTCCCCCCCACTTAAATCATGTTAAAATGGATACTAAATACATTTGCACACATCTTGTGTCCATATCTTTCTGTTTTGGTGGTCATGCCACATCGTGCACATGCATGCATGCATGCATGCGCGAGTCATGGTAAGATATCTGGATTAAGAGGTTGCTTTTTCTTTGCACAGCATGAAAGAAAGGCCAAATGAATGGGCTGTGATTTTAGTTTTTTTAAGCAGAGGTTGAGTTCAATAATTTGTACCGCCCTCGGAGGATTTTGTAAAAATTTAAAGGAAAAAGGTTTCCCACCCCTGCTGTAAATAATAATAAAAACCCTTGATTTATAACATCTCTGTCTCCTATTGATCTGAGTATATTATAAAGAATAGCCAGTTAATTGAAGCATTATAGCACAGGCCTTTGTCAGATGGTATATTACGCTGTTTTTTTCCTGCTTCGAATAGTTCTCTCTTTTTTAACCATACCTGTGTTTGCATCACTGTTCCTTATACCTACATCTAGAATCCAGATTTTGAAAGCTTTGATAACAGCTCACTATGCAACTAAGTCTTATAACACATGGAAATAAAATGATTATTTTAAAGCTCCTTTCATTCATTTTTTAGACCATCAGAAAAGACTCAGCCAACTCTGCCCTTCCCCTCTTTCAGTTTATAGTTTTCGCAACTTTTCTTTTAGTTTGCTCTCATTGCTGGTTGATTTTAAGGAAAAGCTATGATAAACCTACGTTAGGTACATTATTAACTGTCTTCTTGCGGTGTTGAGGCAAAGGAGGGGGGCATGGCACGAGCGTCATGTTACCATGCTGTTACCATGCCACGCCACGGCAACCCCCCATTCCCCTGATAGGTGGAGAGTTGCCCATATAGGCGGAGCTCCCCGTTTCTGACGTCAGAACAATTTCAAATTTGGATCAGTCTGTATAAGATCCATTGCAGCCCC